TCCTTTCTTCCTCATATCCGCGCCACAACTGGCACCGCCTTCCATCACCTCCGAAACATCGCCAGACTATGGCACTACCTCACCCCTCACGCTGCTGAAACCCTGGTCCACGCCTTTATCACCTCAAGGCTGGACTATGGGAACTCTCTCCTCGTCGGCCTTCCCGCCACCTCCCTCCACAAGCTGCAGGTCATTCAGAACTCTGCAGCTCGTGTACTGTCCCGCACCAGGCTTCGCGATCACATCACTCCCACCCTCGCTCGCCTCCACTGGCTCCCCATCCCCCAGAGGGTCGAATTCAAGATCCTCATCCTCACCTACAAGGCCATTCACGGCCTCGCTCCCTCCTACCTCTCCAACCTACTATCCCCCTACCTACCTGCCCGTACCCTCCGTTCCTCCGGCTCCGGTCTGCTCCACGTCCCCCGCCCCAACCGCCCTACCATCGGTGGCCGGGCCTTCAGCCTCTCAGCCCCTAGGCTCTGGAACTCCATCCCCCAGTGCCTTCACCTTGCTTCCTCCCTTTCCTCCTTCAAGGCCGGTCTCAAGACCTTTCTCTTCAGCTCCCCTCTCGACTCTCTACCCCCTCCTCGCTCTCTCCCTTCCCTCCCCTCACCCTGACCATTTCCCCCCTGCTCGGGTCATAACCCAACTATCCAGCGCCTTGGGACGTCCTCCCGATGTGAAAGGCTCTCTATAAATGAAATGTTGTTGTTGTTGATGTTAAAGATCCCATGACACTATCAAAAAGAGAAAGGAGTTTCTTCCGGTGTCCTGACCAACAATCCCCCAAATAAAATTGGTCACTCACTACATGGCTGTTTGTGGGATGTTTCACCCACAAAATACAAGGTCAGTTCACTTTACAGTAAATCCTGTGAAACGCTTTGAGATTCTCAACTATGTGATGAGGCGCTATATCAAATGCAAGGGTTATTATTGTTATTGCTGTGTCAAATTGACCTCTGTGTTTCACCCACAAAATCCACAGTAAATCCATGTATATCCCATGAAGCCCTTTGAGACATCTCAACACATCTCAGGTGCTATATTAAATAGGATTATTTTATTATTATCAATGTTTCCTCTGATACATCTCTTTTTGAATTTTTTTTCTCAACAGTATTGAGCAGGAAAATTACCAACAACTAAATGCAGATCACTGTGGAATCCTACTTATGCTGTTCACCAGAATTAGTGAAGATTTAGTCCAACAACAATAGCATTTATATAGTGCAGGGTAGTGGCTCAGACTGATTAATAGTGGCAGAGCTTAACACTGAGCCAAGGAGAGAAGAGAGACGACCATAGATGTGGTAAAAGAGGAAGATCTTCAGATACGATCTGATAACGGGCAAGGAGGAGGCAAGATTGAGGCCGGTTTTAGGGCGTAGTAGCTGAAAGCACAACCGCCGATGATGAAATGGAGGAAATAAGAAATGTGGAAAAGGCTATAGCCTGATGAGCGAAAGGGACGGGTAGAGGAGTGGCATGTAAGCAAATCAGAGATGTAGAGAAGTGCAAGGGTATGAAATGTGAAGATGTGAGGATCTTGAAATAGGTCAGTTCTGCAATAGGGTGCAGAGTTGATTATTTGAATGCAAAAAACTAAACGCTCCTCAGAATTGTTGAACTTGAAAGTGTCAGAAATTGTATAACCACCACAGATGCTACTCTACATAAATACTGGGATGTGTGAGATACTCTTCATTAAAATTGTAGATCAAATAAGCTATTTTTCATTGATATAAGATATAAGGATATAAGGTTTCAAGACTGAGGTGGATAGATATTTGTTAGGTAAGGGTAGCAAGGGATTATGGGACAAGTGGGGGTAATTGGAGTTGAGATACAGATCAGACATGGTCTTATGGAATGGCAGAACTGGCTCGAGGGGCTGAATGGCCTACTCCTGTTTCTATATTTCTATGTTTGTTTTTCTTAATATATTGCCAAACAAATATATTTTCAAGTCCAAACCGGCTGAAACAAGCAGAGGATGTGCAATGCTAGAAAGCCAGTAAGCACTTTAGGAATGAAAACATTCGGTTAAAAAAAATTTTGTATAGCAATGTGAAAGGCGCTGTACAGATGTAATTTTATTGTTGTTGTTGAAAGAGGGAGGCATGATCAAGAGAAACAGATGGTCTGGTAACATTGGCTGGATTGAGGGAAATACAGTCAATTCACTTTACAGCATATTCTGTGAAGCGCTTTGAGACGTCTAGAAGACATGAAAAGCGCTGTATCAAATGCAAGGATTATTATTATTATTATTATTATTATTATTATTATAATACTGCACCATTCACATTAATGGTTTTGGTGGTTGGCAGCAAATCATTTGTACTGTGTATAAACATATTTCTAGGTTTGAAGCTGTTTAAATTGCTCATATTCAAAATTATGCAAGTTTTTACAAGTATTTATGGCTGAAAAAGTAGCAAAGAGGGACCCCCCTCTCAATGGCAATCTACTGGCTGGCTTTTACTCTTGCCATTTCAATAACATTGAATGGATTTGATACCTTTCTTATTTAAAATAATGCTGAATAGATTGCCCAAATTGTCACGGGCACCAAAATCTGCAGGTGCACCATCCCAGTCTTCACCAGATTACATTGGCTCCCAAGTTATAAATTTCAAGGTTCTCACCATCACCTATAAGTCCTTTCACACACTAGCACTTCCCTACCTCTGTGATCTTCTTCGACCTCATTCCTCTCCTTGCCCCCTCCGCTTGCAAACTCGGGTCTGTTATGCATCTTCCCCACCATTTCATTGGTGGGCAAGCTTTCAGTAACTATGCCCACATTTTATGGAACTCTTTACTTCTACCCCACCCCCCTTTATCTGTCTTTAAATGCCCCCAAACCACCTACTTACCTCTTTAATTCTGCATGTAGTGACCTCCCCCTTTTCCTTTCCTCTGCATCTGAAACCTTCCCCATGAAACACTCCAAAACATTATCTTCGATGAAGGGTGCTTTCATTACATCTAGGCTTGACTATGCAAACTCCTTGCTTGTCGGACTTCCCATCTCCACAGGCTGCAGATGATCCAGAACTCTCCAGCCCGTGTCCTCTCCCGCACCAGGCTCTGTGACCCTATCACCCCATCCTTCCACGACTAAACTGGCTTCTCATCACAGAGGATACAGTTCAAGATCCTAGTCGTCACCTTCAAAGTCCTCCATGGTCTTGCTGCCCCCTACCTCTGTGACCTCCTAACCCCCTACCATCCTGCTCGCTTCCTCCGCTCAGTGGGCACCGGCCTACACGTCCCCCGCTTCGCTTGCCCCACTATTGGTGGGTGGGCCTTCCGCCACTCTGCCCCCACCCTCTGGAACTCCATCCCGCAGTCCCTCCGCTTCGCCCCCTCTCTTGCCTCCTTCAAGAACCATCTCAAGACCCTTCTCTTTGACCATGCTTTCAATCTCCCTGCTTCTCCCCCTGCCCTCCACCCTCCCCGATCATGACTCCCAACTCGAGTCTGAAACTCTGTCTGTCCAGTACCTTGGGACATCCTCCCGACATGAAAGGCGCTTTACAAATATAAAAGCAGGAGTGCTGCATTGTCAGTGCACCGTCCTTCAGTTAAGGCGTTAAATTGAGGTCCCACGTGTCCATTCAGGTGGATGTAAAAGATCCCATGGCAGTATTGAAAAGAAAAAGGAGTTTCTCCCAGTGTCATTCACTTCATGGCTGTTTGTAACACGTTGCTGTTTCCAAATTGTCTGCCACATTCACCTACAAAATACAGGCACTATATTTTACAGCAAAGCCCTTTCGAGTCATCTTGACAATACATCAAATTGCAAGGATGATTCATCAATATAATTACTCATTGGTAGTACTGTAGTTTCATTCAATAATTATTCATATAATATGGGATAAGAGGTGGGGAAAAGTGGGAGGGAGGGGGAATGAGAGGGGTTAAAAAAAATTCCCCAGAGGATCACAATACTGCAACAACTTTCTTAGGCAGGCGGGATCTCGGTATAATGTTAAACCAAGGTACTGTCTGCCTGTTTGGGTGGGTTTTAAAGATCCCAAGGCACTATTCAAAAAGAGAGGGATATTCTTCCATGTCCTGTTCAACATACCCCCAGATGAAATGGGTCATTCAGTCCATGGCAGTTCGTGGGATATTGCTGTGCGCAAATTTGCTCACAAAATACAGTCAATCCATTTTACAGTACATCCTGTGAAGCGGTTTGGGACATCTGCCTGATTTCAAACGTGCTATGTCAAATGCAAGGACTATAATTATTATTTCTGCATTGTATACACACACACACACACACGAGTGCTCCGATTGCAGTGCACCTACGCAGTCACACCACGCTCACACACAATGTGGCCAGGTTCAGTGAGTTCATGCCCAATTGGGGGCAAGTTTTTGTTGTCATGTGCATGAAAAATACAGCTTTGGGCCGTTTAGCCCTTTGAATAATAATATAATAATATTCCTTGTTTTTTGAGATAGAGCCTTATCGTGTCTTTGAGACGCCTCAAAGTGCTTCACAGGATATAGTGTAAAGTGAAATTACTGTATATTTTAAAGACCTTTTCTTGCAGTTTGAGAAGCACAAACCTAAACTGGCCAATCTGCTGCTGGAGCATCAGAGGCCACACATAATATTGGGCTACTTTTGGGCTCGTGTTTGGTGGACTTTGGGCTACAGACGGGTTTTCAATTTGCAGGAGACACTTGAGTGCGGGTGGCGTTCCGGCCAAGGCAAACACGCATGCGCGCCAGGCAAGTCGGCGCTTGCGCGCTGGGAGGCTTTGCTGTGTGCTGGCGCAGGCGCACAGGCGGCAGGTGGTGGTGGCAGAGTTGCTGCTGTTGCTGCTTCTGATGATGATGATGACGATGGTGGGCGGGCCCTGGTGACGCAGTCCGGCCCAGTAAACCGGCCCCGGACATGCGCTGACGGGCTGCCAGAGGCCGGAGTGATGCTCGTTGAGCGCGCGGCGGCGGCGGCGGCGGCCACGGCCTCAATTACAATGAGCGGTGACAGCGACAGTGACGTGGCCTCCAACAGCAAGAAGTTCATCTCCATCAGCGTCCCTGACCAGCCCGACGCCATGTCACCCCACATCAGGTGCGTGGAGGAGCTGCGGGTGCTCGGCATCAACCTCAGCGCCTTCACCAAACCCGCCCAGTTCTTCATCTGTGCCGCAGGAGTCTTCGTCTTCTATCTCATCTACGGGTACCTGCAGGTGAGGGAGGGAGGGAGGGAGGGAGGGAGGGCTGCACACACAGGCCGAGAAACTTTCATCATCGCCACTGTTGTTGTTATCGTTTTTGTCCTTAGTGTTTTGGGTGTTGTTTTGTTGTTTCTGTTCTCGCTGTTGTTGGTTGTTCTTGTTTTTGCTGTCGTTAGTTTTGCTATTGATAAGAACACAAGAAGTGCTAAACCGAAGAAGAAGACCCAAAGGCCCATCTAAGAGTTCGCCTTCCACCTTCCTGGTTGTCGTACGCACATAAGTCCCAAACTACCTATGTACTATATCCCATAATGGTATTTCCTAAAAGAAAATTATCTAATTTTTAAAAAATATTGCTGTATTATTCAGCCCTCTGCCACATTGACAGTGCTTGCCAAATATGACAGAGTAGGAGGGAGCGAGAATCTTACATTAGCATCCACTTACACAGCCATACTGGCAGGAACTTGGTAACAAATCGCCTTTCTGCACTCTCGGGCGAAAAAAAATCAAAACCTGGTGCATAAAACTGGCCTTAACCCGTGTTTTTATGACCTGCGGGTTCTTGAAGATGCGAAGATTATCTGGTTCTTTAATGCAACAAATACATATACAAGTACGTGGAGACCTGTAGCTCAGTGGTTAGAGCACTCGCTTTGCAAGCGAAAGACCTGGGTTTGATTCCTATCAGGGTGAAACCTTGGGCAAGTTTCCTTACTCTACACACCTGATAATAATCCCCCAAGAAAAAAGAAAAAATTTATAACTTAGTTATTTCAATCCACGGCTGTTTTTGGGACACTGCTGTGCGCATTGGCTGCCGCATTTTGCCCACAAATATACAGTCAATTCACTTTACAGTCTATTCTGTGAAACGCTTTGAGACGTCTGGATGACGTGAAAAGTGCTATGTCAAATGCAAGGATTATTATTATTATAATCTGTATTTAAAAGAATCAACACTTCCTGCTTCAAACATCTCCCTAGGGAACCTGTTCCACAGGTTTACTATTTGCTCACTTAATCTACAAATTTAGCCACTGAAATAGTGTCTGGTAGATTTGTTCTGAATTTACCACCCTTTAATCGCAGGCCATGGTATCCGGTTTTACTATTCTGGACTATTTGAAACAGCCTGTCATGATCTATATCGTCTTGCCCCTCTAGAACCTTAAAGACAGCGATCATGTCGCCTCTCAATCTTTTCTTTTCCAGCATAAACACATCCAATTTACTTAGTCACTCCTCATAGTCCAGTCCCTCCATTCCCTCAATCATTTTGGTTGCCCTTTTCTGTATCTTCTCAATTTCTCCAATATCCTTTTTATATTACAGCGATCAGAACTGTACACAATACTCTTAAGTATGATCTCACCAATGATTTATACAGGGGCAGGATTACCCCACTATTTCAGCTTGCTGTTGATCTTTTGATACATCCCAACATCTGGTTTGCTTTACTCACTGCCACAGAGCATTATTGGGAGAGCTTCAATTTATTGTTGATCAGGACCCCCAGGTCTTTTTCATTGTCCATACATATTATTTTCCCTCCATTCAGATAATAGTCCCTTCCAGAATTTTTTGTCCCCATGTGAAGTACTTTACATTTCTCCACATTGAATTTCATCTGCCACCAATCTGCCCAATTCCCAAGTATGTTCAAATTCTCCTGTAACCTATTTTGTTCAGCTTCGCAATCAACCACCTTCATTAGCTTAATCTGCAAATTTAGCCACTGTGCTTGTGACTCCCAGTTTCAGATCATTTATAAAAAATATTAAACAAAAGAGATCCCAAAACACACCTCTGTGGAATTCCATTAGTTTTAGTCTGATGACATTCCCTGTACCATCACCTTCCAGTCAACCAATCGATTATAATGCAAGGATGATTATTATTATTATTAATATACCTCCAATGATTCCCGCTTTCTTTACTTTCAATACCAGTCTCTCAAGAGGAACTGTATCAAAGGCCTTACTGAAATCCAGATATATAACATCCCCAGCCTTACCCTTATCAAGCTCCTTTGTCACACCATCAAAGAAAAACAGTAAATTCGATTGGCAAGACCTTTCCTTCATGAACCCATATTGGCTATTATTTATGATTTTGTTTCTGTCCGAATGCTCCATGATTTTTTCCTTAATAAGAGTCTCCATAATCTTACCCACAATGGACATCAAATTTACTGGTTTGTTGTTTCCTGGGTCACATTTGTTAAAAAATATTGTTCTCATTAGTTTTGTTCTTTTTGTTATTTGTTATTGTTGTTGGAAATATCTTTTTNGGAAATACACAGTTAATTCACTTTATAGTGTATTCTGTGAAGCGCTTTGAGACTTCTTGAAGATGTGATAGGGCGCTATATCAAATGCAAGGATTATTATTATCTTTTGAATTTTTTTGCATTTTATATGGGGCATTTTAAATTTCTTCCCACCCACCTTTTTCTCTGTCTTTCTCTTCTTCACCTTTTTTTTACAGGAACTGATTTTTTCCGTAGAAGGCTTTAAACCCTATGGCTGGTATCTCACTCTGGTGCAGTTCGCTTTCTATTCCATGTTTGGACTGGTTGAGCTTCAACTCACGCTGGACAAGAGGAGAAGGTAAAACTGATGCTCAGTAACTGATTGGCAAAGTAACTCGTTTTTTTTAATACTAACCAAACATGTACTGTACAACATTTCTTCCAATGTTGGGGGAAATCAGAGTCGCAGGTTTTGGGTGCAACATTGCTTTTTGCAGTTATTCACCATCGGAGGTCGCGCTTTCAGTCACTATATCCCCAAACTCGTCCTCAATCCCTCCGCCTTGCCCCCTCTCTCCCCTCTTTCAAGAACCTGAAAACTTTACTCTTCAACCGTGCTTACGGCCACCTCCTCCCTCCCCCCGGCTCGGAGTCAGCCTCCGCCTCTGTTAAGTGTTCTGAGACGCTACCTTGCGTGGAGGGCGCTATATAAGTGCAATTTGGTGTTGTTGTTCCCCTTTTTTTATTTGCTGTCCACATTTCAAATGTCTTCTAAATGTTTTTAAAACTCCCTCTCTCCTATTCCTCTCTCCAAACAAGCAAACCGACAAAAAAGTGCTACGCCATAAAAAAGATTATAATAATTTGGTTACTCAATCCACAACTGTTTGTGAGACACTGCTGTGTGCGATTGGCAGCCACATTTCACCCACACAATATACAATCAATTCACTTTCCAGTATATTCTGTGAAGCACTTTGAGACATCTCGAAGACCTGATAAGGCACTGTTACCAAATGCGAGAATTATTATTTTTAAGTTTCTTTTTAAAAACAAGTGTTTGGTAAACTTTTAGTTGGTATATTATTGTTACAGGAATACTAAGTATAGTTGTCAACTGTATAAATAATCCACTACAATTATTTTTCCAACATCATTAGGCTCTGATTATAAAGTTACCTTTCAATATAAACTGTTCGTCTCTCTTCAAGGACAGCAAGGTCCCAGTGTTGGTCAAACTTGAGCCACATAGGACCTCGGTACAAAAGTTCTCCTTTATGGTTTTGAGCTCCTGAGGATGCAGCAGAGAGGCTTCCTCTGACTCATTTGCGGTGTCCAGGATCAAGAATTAGGTGAATTTGTGGCAAACATGGAAAGTGGCTGCAAAGAAAGGGGAGGGGGCTCCAGCGTACACACTGACCTGTTGCTAAGCACCCTTGAGATGGAGTTGGCTTCACAGTAGACAAGACCATTTGCTCCTGGTCCCTGGCATTCACCTAGTAAGGGCTGAAACCTGCTTATCAAAGTGACTATCCTCCTTTGATAAGGGAGATCTCCTTGCAGCTGAACTGGCTCCGGGATGAGGTATTTGGCAATTAAATATCAGAATCGAGCCAGCCCGTGTGGCGGTCTTGGTAGTATAGTTCCTGAGCCAGACAGTACTTCTGGGCACTGCTGATCACAGCCAGCCTGGCTCATTGGCAGGACTAGGAAAGTGGGGCAGGGATACTTCCCACTTCGCTCCTATTAACCCTGCAAGCCAAAGCCCTAACGGAAAGGGTGGTTCTAGCTGGACAAGCAGTGGGAAAGCTTGCCACATAGTACTTTCAATGGCAAGCTATGTGGTTTTAGCTGGTTAGACTTCAGCAGTACCCAAACACACACTCTGAGGTCCCCAAGCCTTGGCTTTTGCCAACCTATGCCTAACATTCTTCAGAATTAGTTGCATAGGACTCCATTCCAAAAAATATCTTAAATTTACATGTATAGATGGGATGCATTGAACTCTCAGTTTGGTTTCGATACTCTTAAGCATGGTGATGGGTTTCCACATGTGTCAGACACATTTTTGGCTCACAAATCTTTTCATTTTGGATTCTGGAACAGCAAGGTTTATAGCAGTGGGTAGTTAAGTCAATGATTTTTTACACATCTGTAAGACTGTCTGGTGTTCTGTTTTAAATTTATTTTATAGAACGCATTACCGGATTCTTTAAAATGCAATGTTAATTAATGCTGACTTAGCCAAGAGTAATACACAGTGGTTGTTCTGTAGAGGGGGTTTGAATGATATCCTACGTGCATTCGTTTGGCATGTTTTGGTAAATCACTATGATTTCTGCCACCCATCAATCAGCCTGACTCTATTTCAGATGGTGTGTGGGTCTAGCAATGGAGATATGATGGGCTTACTATTGTCCTATTGTCATTTACTGTTGAAGCACTCTGAGACACTACCTTGTGTGAATGGCACTATATAAATGCAAATTGTTGTCTCATCTTTTGTTGATACAAAACTGGATTAAGGCACTAACTCCCTAATTGACAAAATGTACATTTCAAGAACTTTCAAAATAATGAGCACATTATAATTAGAATAATTTCAGTTGACTTATGGCTACATTCTAACTTAAATTAATATTTCAATTGGAATTTGTTGTAGATGAAGAATATTAACAAACTGCATTTTTAATTTTCACTGTAATTCACTGCAGTGAATTACTGATTTCTGAGGTACATTTCTGAGGATTCCATTCCAGAGTCCTTCTGACTCACTCCCTCTCCTTGTTCAAAGCACGTCTCAACCACAACAACAACAAAATTACATTTGCATAAGTGCCAAGGCGCTGGACAGTCAATGTTTCGGACCTGAGCTGGGGGTCGGGATTGGGGAGAGTGGAGGCCAGGGAGGTGAAGAGGGTGATCGAAAGCACAGTCGAAGAGGAGGGTCTTGAGATGGGTCATAAAGGAGGCAAAGGAGGGGGAGAGGTGGAGGGACTGCGGAATGGAGTTCCAGAGGGTGGGGGCAGAGTGGCTGAAGGCCCGCCCGCCTATGGGGACGTGAAGCAGGCCAGAGCCTGCTGAGCGGAGGGAGCGAGCAGGTTGGTAGGGGATTAGGAGGTCCCAGAGAATTAGGAGGTCACAAGGCCATGGAGGGCTTTGAAAGTGAGGACCAGGATCTTGAACTGCATCCTTCGTGTGATGGGAAGCAGGTGGAGTCGGGTGAGGATGGGGGTGATAGGAGCCTGGTGCGGGAGAGGACATGGCCTGCAGAGTTCTGGATGATCTGCAGTCTATTGGAGGGAGGAGTTGTGGAAGCCGACAAGCAGGGAGTTTGCACAGTCAACTGGCACCGCCTTCCATCACCTCCGGAATGTCGCCAGACTACGGCACTACCTCACCCCTCACGCTGCTGAAACTCTGGTTCACGCCTTTGTTACCTCAAGGCTGGACTATGGGAACTCTCTCCTCGTCGGCCTTCCCGCCACCTCCCTCCACAAGCTGCAGGTCATTCAGAACTCTGCAGCTCGTGTACTGTCCCGCACCAGGCTTCGGGACCACATCACTCCTACCCTCGCTCACCTCCACTGGCTCCCCATCCCCCAGAGGATCGAATTCAAGATCCTCATCCTCACCTACAAGGCCATTCACGGCCTTGCTCCCTCCTACCTCTCCAACCTACTATCCCCCTACCTACCTGCCCGTACCCTCCGTTCCTCTGGCTCCGGTCTGCTCCACGTCCCCCGCCCCAACCGCCCTACCATCGGTGGTCGGGCCTTCAGCCTCTCAGCCCCCAGGCTCTGGAACTCCATCCCCAGTGCCTTCGCCGCCTCCTCCCTTTCCTCCTTCAAGGCCGGTCTCAAAACCTTTCTCTTTGACCGAGCCTTCAGCTCCCCTCTCGACTCTCTTCCCCCTCCTCGCTCCTTCCCTCCCCTCACCCTGACCATTTCCCCCCTCCTCGCTCCCTCCCTTCCCTCCCCTCACCCTGACCATTTCCCCCCTGCTCGGGTCCTGACCCAACTGTGCAGCGTCTTGGGACGTCCTCCTGACGTGAAAGACGCTTTATAAATGGAATCTTGTTGTTGTTGTTGTTGTTAAGCCTTGATGTTATGAATATGTGTATGAGGGTTTCAGCGGCGTCTGGTGTGAGACATGGCGGAGCCGGGCGATGTCGTTGAGGTGGGGGAAGGCAGAGCGGGTCATGGCACGGATGTGGGGTGGAAAGGATAGTTGAGGGTCAAACAAGCTGCCAAGGTTCTGGACTGGATGGTGATGCTGTCAGCGCCTGAGGTGTGGAGGCGCTGACGGGAGCGAATCAGGAGAGCCTCGGTCTTGTTGACGTTCAACTGTAGAAAGTTACCTCTCATCCAGGACTCGATGTCTGACAGACATTCTATCAGGACAGCAGTGGTCGTGGAGTTGAGGGTGGAGGCAGAGAGGTAGAGTTGGGTGTCATCCACATACATGTGGAAGCTGACCCCACGTCTGTGTGTGCTTAACTCTCACTGGAGTTGAAACTTGGAATGTGGGTCTCTCAGACTGACTTGGATAGTCTTAAGCACAGGTTTTACATGCGTTTTGGGCAAAGTAAAATCTCTCAATACATTTTTTTTTACTCTTTTGTGAATGATCAATTTTGAAAATGGAAAATTGTAATAAATAACTTGAATTACTTAGCCACTGAAGCATTCCAAATTATTTGTTTATTTTCTGATCTGATTGAATTGAACCAATCCAAGGTGCATAAAGTTTGTAAGACCCTAAAATATGGATGTCTGTTGCAAATCACTGATACAAATTTAGAGGCTCAATGATGCAGAAAATATTATTTGAATGAATAGGTATACAATGAATATTACAAAGTTGTCACCTCGATGTGGAAATGTTTATAAAGACAATGTGAGACAATGATGTTTTCACATGTTTGACAGATATCTAATTATCTGATCGGAAAATCTGGTAGGAATAATAGCTTGGTTTGTTGATTCAAGTGAATGCTAAAGATTCCAGAAAGAGAAGGGAGTTTTCCCTAATGTTCTGGCTAACTAACCTCCACATAAATGGGCCATTCACTTAAGAATAAGAATAATAATCCTTGTATTTAATATAGCACCTTATCACGTCTTCGAGACGTCTCAAAGTGCTTCACAGAATATACTGTAAAATAAATTCACTGTACATTTAGTGAGCGAAATGCGGCAGCCAATTGCGCTCAGCAGTGTCCCACAAACAGTCGTGGATTGAGTGACCAAATCATTCCTTTTTTTATTTTTGAAGGGATTATAACCCCTGGAAAAGTGATCCGCCAAACGACTAACAACCAGGTTCCTAATTACTGCACTTATTTGTGCAATACTACTGTGAGCAAATTGGTTGCGATGTTTGCCTTCAAATAGTCACTATATTTGACAGCAATTATCTGTGAAGCCCTTTGAGTCATTTTGATGTTCATAGAATCATAGAATGTTACGGCACAGAAGGAGGCCATTTGGCCCATCGAGTCTGTGCGGCTCTTTGACAGAGCAACTGACTTTTATTAACCCCATTCACCAGCCTTCTCCCCATAACCCTGCAAACCTGTCTTCTCCAGATACCTATCCATGTTACAGGTACTTTGTGGAGTGCTGTGGCTCAGTGGTTAGAGCACTCGCTTTGCAAGTGAGAGACCTGAGTTCAATTCCAGGCAGAGGGCGAAACCTTGGGCAAGTTTCCTTACTCCACACAGAGCCTAATAATAATCCCTCCAAAACAAAACAATAATAAATGGTCATTTTCAATCTACGACTGTTTGTGGGACATTGCTGTGCGCAATTGGCTGCTGCGTTCGCCCACAAATATACAGTCAATTCACTTTACAGTGTGTTCTGTGAAGCGCTTTGGGACGTCCTCCCGACATGAAAAGCGCTATATCAAATGCAAGGATTATTATTATTATTACTTTATCAAATGCAAGTATTATTACTTGTCAAACTTTACAAGTAAAACAACAGCTCATTGTTGGAGATGCTTTATACAGTAATGGGATGCCTCAAACTGGAAAGAGAGGTGATTATACAGCTGGAAGTATCATCAATCTTTATTTTTGATACTAGGTACAAAACTTTTGATGGTCGAGAAAACGTTGTGAATGATCTTGTGTGACCCCTGCAGTGAACGTCTATTGGATTTTATGGAGCATTTTTGCAGCTTTTCCACTTTTTAAAATCTACTTGTTATTAATGGGCTTTGATATTGTGCTAACTGACAAGAGCTGCCCAAAGCCATTCTGTATGTGGAAAAAGAGCTCTGATCAGTATTATAGAGTGGTTCAATTACCTCTCCAGCAAGACAATTTATAGTAATACATAAGCATGAACAGACCTATGTTCATGCTTATGTATTACTGAAAACTCTCATCTTTATAAATCGTATAATCACCTAAGTCATACATTCACCCTAGTCCCATTGACTTTTCTATCAAAACCACTTAGATATCTTTGCACTACTCATATCACCTCCTAACTCGTAATGCCACTCCCCTAGCCTTCATTAAGCCCACACTTACCGACTGCTTTGATTCGCAGGAAATTACATCCTGACCTATTAACACATGCGCATTTACTGGCCAGCTGCATTGAATCGCAGGAAACTTGGTCTTGATCCATTGACCCATATGCAGAACTTAATTTCCCGCAATTCAATGCAATTCCAATAGTTGCTGATAAGTACGCATTGAATAGCGGGAATTATAGTCTTGACCCATTTACTGTATGCACACTAACTGCCCACATTAAATTATGCATGTGCAGTGTAGATCATTGATTAAATCATGCTCCGCCATTGCCAAGCGCTCTGGGACACTAACCTGCATGAGGGGCGCTATACAAATGCAAATTGTTTTTGTAATCGGATTTTCTATAATTTATACAGGTTGCCTGCAAATCGGACTTCACATAAGATTTGTAATGCTGTTTCGCTGAATTTGGTAAAGATTACCACTCCATTTCTGTGCCTTGCTTTTCAGAATTCCCTGGAAAACATATATGCTCATAGCGTTTCTAACAATGTGTACGATGGGCTTGTCAAACACCTCCCTTGGTTATCTGAATTATCCAACTCAAGTAATCTTTAAATGCTGCAAGCTGATTCCTGTTATGATAGGAGGAGTCTTCATACAAGGTACATAAAAGTAGAATAATTCCTACGTATTCCTGAATTTGTTGCTGAAATGTACTGATTTTGAAAGTGTTTCATAATTTGTAAAGCGTGTATACATGCTTAATAAGTTAACATATATGAAGTTCATAATTAGTCAATTTTTCCACTCACCTGACGGTACTCTGCTGGAGTAGATTCAACAGGCATCCAAATACTCAATTGTCATGTTTGTGCCTATATGTTTGTGCATTTTAATACCTTGGATATGTGGTGTGTGTGGGGTAGTGAGAGAATCTCAGCCAAGAGTGATCCTAGTTGGGGGTTAATAAATTGGAGTTCTGTCTTTTTGCTTTTTGTCTCGCTTTCCCTTCCTCTTTCCACCCCCCCTTCACCCCCCTGAATTGTTTAGGCTAATTGTGGTGCCCTTTCTGCCATCTTGATAGGAATACAGTAAACTCCTGATAACTTGACCCTGGCTAACTTATCACTACCACTTAGGTCATCATGGGATTAATATCCAGTTGCATTTATTTATGTATTTATACATATGCCTAACTGGCCACTCTGGATAACTCGTCACTGTGCCCCATTCCTTTGGACCAATGAGTTATCTATCAGGAGCTTACTCTAATATGATTGAGGTTTTATATTAAAGGAAATCAACATGGAATACACATAGGGATTGACTCTTCCCTTTAAAGGGTCAGCCCAGAGCAAGAGGAAATATCTTAAAATTAGAACAAAAATGATTAAAAATAAATCCAAATATTTGTTGACATAGAATGGAAAGTGCACTGTCTCCAGGAGACTGTAAGTATAGACTCTAACATTTGCTTAAATTCTCGCTGAAAATAAATTCAGTTCCATCTATAAAATCCCTCTCAAATGTATTTAAAAGAGATATCGGTGGTAGATCTGTGGGAGATGTATATGTGGAAGAAACTGGGTGCACAAGTCATGTTACAGATTTTTGTAAATCTGGAAAGGATTGAAAGTTTTTTTTTGGAGGGGAAGGACAAACATTCCAATGACTTCATGTAATTGAAAAGCTTCATAAGGGAAGAGTAGATAAATCATCTTGTGACAAATGCATAAAATCAAATAAACTGGGGTTGGGGTTCCAGAAGACACAGGCCATCAGTGAGAGAACTTTAGAGTGAGTGTAATACAGTTTGGCTGGATGATTATGTAGTACCGTGATAAGTGGAAAATATTGCACTGGTGGTATTCTCCGAATTGGCTGTGAACAATGGGATATCTTGAGACAAAATAAACGCTGAGGTGTAATGCTGAGATTGCAGACCTGTTGCATATAATTTGAAGTTATGCTAGGATTGCTAACTATTGGAAAGCAGTAGAATATTGTGCACAATTTCATATGCCAGCAAAATAAGAATAGATCAGAATCTAAAATGTGTATCTTGGGACATCTGTCCAGAATGGTATTGGCAAAAAGACTTACACAGACATGGAAGTCCAGTTCAGTGTGATCTGTCTCCCAGTGGGAGAAGGCATTAGAAGAAATATTAACTTGGAACGATTTATACAGGTGCTATACAGGGGAAACTGAAGCTATTTGATCCAATTTGGGAGGGATTTTGAAAGCCCATAGGCATAGGAAGCTATGGGCTTCTGTGTGCTGATGTGTAATAATCCACTGAAGGGGAGGGTGGGGGGCAGAAAAAAGCCTGACATTGCAAAGGATTTTGAAGGAAGTTCTTCTCAATTGTAGCTTTTTTTTGTTTTGATTGGTTTAACTTTACTTAAGATTCATTTTTTTCCCCACTTTTTGTTGGAGATTGGAAGGATGTAAGATTATTCAATTTTACAATTTGGGATCATCCTGTATGTAAAACTGCAACAAAGGTGATTTTGGTTCCTCATAATGCTTCAGTACTGTATGCAATAACAATAACTTGCATATATATAGTGTCCTTCACAGAGGATAGGGTCTTGGAGTGCTGAGAATGTAGAATAATATATTATTAACAAACTGCAATAGTACAGCAGATCCTTGCCAGGTTCAAAAATTGTTGATCTGAGTTAAATTTTCTACTCCAGCACTGATCACAAATTCAGCTGACAAATTAATTTGTTCAAATCATCTTGTTTGTACATAGAATATTATTTCTATGGAGTCCTGTAGCTCAGTGGTTAGAGCACTCGCTTTGCAAGCGAGAGACCTGAGTTCAATTCCAGGCAGAGGGCGAAACCTTGGGCAAGTTTCCTTACTCCACACAGAGCCTAATAATAATCCCTCCAAAACCAAAAACAATAATTAAAAAAATTGGTCATTTTCAATCTACGACTGTTTGTGGGACATTGCTGTGCGCAATTGGCTGCCGCGTTCGCCCACAAATATACAGTCAATTCACTTTACAGTGTGTTCTGTGAAGCGCTTTGGGACGTCCTCCCGACGTGAAAAGCGCTATATCAAATGCAAGGATTATTATTATTATTATTTGGCATCCATCTTATTGGGCTACGGAATCCCAAGTATTAGAAAAATGTGTATTGTGACAAAATAATAATGACATTTCTATAGAGATTTTGGTCTTGGCAATTGGCAAGCTGAATAACACTGACAACAAACTTGAACAGGATGTTGAACCAGTTTTACTCAATTAGAATTGTGAATTTGTGGTGGTAGCCGAACACAGCAGTCAGTTTTTACACAGCAGTGTTCCAAAAGCAGTCAGGGTGTGCATGGCCACTGAACTGAGGGATTGTTGGCCAGGACACTGGCAAAAACTCGCTCTTCTTTTTGAATGTTATCATGGGTTCTTTAAAATCCACTTAAACAGGTAGATGAGACCTCATCTTGTCTGAAGGATGGCATCTCAAACAATGCATCGCTCCCCCTCCCTGTCCTGGCGTGTCAGGCTGGAACACGATCTTAAAATACACACACAAGACTTCATCCCACTATTTTCTGACCCAAAGATGAGAGTACTATCAATTGAACCAAGTTGCTGAAAACTTGCATTTAAGGTGGACCCCTAGTTACACTCAATAATAACTAAGGCAAATACTGGAACTTCAGGCTGATTTAACAGAGTATCCAAAGCCAAATCCATAGCGGGCTAGCAGTCTTGGCTAACATTCCAAGGTAATTCTATGGGAGATTCATTTCAGGGGAAGCTAAAGATCCCAAGCAACTCTTTCAAAAGAGAAGGGAGTTTCCTCTGGTGTCCTGGCCAACAATCCTACAGCTAAATTTCTCATTCACTTCATAGCTGTATGTGGGGTATTGCTGTGCTGCTGTGTTCAGTACAAATAGACAGTCACTATGCTTCATTTGTTGCAGGGCTTTGGTATGTTTTTCTAAGTTAGGGCGCTATATCAAATGCAAGGATTATTATTGTAACTGGTAGAGAGATGGGATCAGAGATGAGAGGGCAAGTGGAGTGGTGGATAATTGAGATTCTGTTATTTTTTAATTAGAAAACTGTTTTGTGTTTTCTGTAAGCAATGCACATGCATTCCGTAAACGTTTTTTAACCATAGTGTTTTGAAATTTTCAATTTGAGTAGTTTACTAATAACATTAATTCTCCTGTGATCACTTAGATTGAATTTTTCATAATACCTCAATTTAATCCAAACCACAGCTCGTGTGCAAATCCTTGACTGTACAGCACCTTGGGACGTCTTCCAATGTGAAATGCAATTTGTTGTTGTTGTTTACTCTGCAAATTGTGCTCTTATGCACCTCATTTTATTTAATTTCCCTTTATTAATACTGTATATTATAAATTTATGAATAGAAGAATGTGATATGCACTATTATGAATTTTGTAAAGAAGACATCCAGTATATTGTAGCGTTGCTATTATTAAAAAGGCTACAATAAATAACATATAAAATACAAACTAATTTATCTTTTAGCAAAACAAAACATTCTATAATAATCCATTTGAAGTGCTCCTAAAGCTTTAGCTCATTTCTATGTCATGACAGGAAAAGATTAATGTTGTAGTCAGGTTTATCTTGTATTATTGTGAAGGCCTACCCTGGTTCAATTAGGAACTGAGTACATGCAACAGTTTAAGAGGTTCTACAGGTAAAATGCAAGTGAAGGCTTACAGGTGATTTTTTTTCATTTTGAATTTAAACACTTATTTAATTTTTCAATACAAGGTTTACTAGCAATATTTAACTTGTACCACTCAGTGTTCGTCAATGCTTGCATGTTCTCTATTCCATCAGTACCTAATACTGTAGTAAGTTCCAAGGCTTATAAATAGGAAATATGTCCCATGTAACCACAGTATTTTTATTCTGTTTTATTTGCTACAACAGGGAAGCGCTACAATATTGTAGATGTATTTGCTGCATTATTCATGACCCTTGGTCTAATTTGGTTCACTTTGGCTGACAGCAAAGTGGCACCCAACTTCAATATGACAGGTAAGACATGTAATTTCTGTTGTGGCCAAGAAGCCTCAATTAAGTAATTAAACCTTCGCTACTTTTATAATTCTTCTGAATAAGTTTTCCCTCTGGGTTGTTTGTATAACCTGGAGATAATTTGATGGTTCAGAGCTGAGAATCTGTACATTTACCCACTTGTTTGATTTATCGCAATTTATGTCTGGACTTGCATTACTGGAACTCGGTATTTGCAAACTCTCTTGAATTCTTGTTCACTGTCTTCTGTCCATCAGTCTTATATATTTTTATAGGTCTAACAATTAGCTTTGTGGAGGAACAGTACAATTGAAATTCAGCATGCCATTATGCTGGATTTCCCAAATCACAAGCACATACCTAATCTTCCAGTGCATAAAATGAAAGTATTTTAAGAACCTACATAATGAACTTCTTTCCAGATGCTTTTTGTTTGACTTAAAAGAACTTAAGTGTATTTTTTGGGGAAAAAAACAGAAAGCAATTCAATATTGGCTGTAAACCTTGCAGGTAGCTTCTGGGCATTTGAACGTTTTGTATAAACTGTTTTGATATACTGAGTATTAACTTTCAGATGGTGAATACACATGAGGTCAAGCGCCTGAGGGTAGGCATAGTGGCTGACAGTCATTTCAGAGACTAAATTTACTTTCCTGGCTGATATTTGCTACTATTTTGGTATCACTGACACATGAAATAAAATGGAAGCACTTGCATTTTCACTGACCAGCAGTTTCCTTGGAGAGGAGAAAATGCCTTGGTAGCCATATAATCCTGAGTAAATCTGATTTGCACTGGACAGTTTTGCCTTGAGAGCAAAATTCTACTTTTTAAATACAGCAGGTTATGTGCTATTGTATAATAAAACTAACGTTAGAGAAAAAGCTGGTGAAAACAATCATGGGGGAACGAGAAAGAAATAGTCGTTCAGTCGTGGAATCAGACCTAGACTACCCTATTTCTGATCCATTTCGATTAATTTTACTTATGATTATTTCTCGAATAAAATAAGTGCCTTCAAATGAATGTGTTGGAGCTGTAGAGGACAAGTTGTAAGATTTAGAATATAGTATTGGGATCATTTCATGAAAATATTGGACCATTTACAGTGTGTTTTATGGTAATGTGAATCTGGTGTTGATTTAGATTGCACTGCTGAGTAAAAGAGTAGAGCAGTAAACCCCAGGGTGTGATTTTTTTTAACCATTCAAAATGGAGTTCAAAGTCTCTTCTCATCTAGTAATACACTGTGACTGAAAGGCAAAGGTAAACCATTGTAACTGGAGATTTCATAAGATGCCTTTAAACTACGTTGGGTCCATTCAACCAATGGTGTTCAGTGACTTAGTACTGTGCTGCCTAATATTTTGTTTACACTGCTTAGTTTTTGTTTCAGAAATTAAACTTATAATTGTGTTTCATTATAACCATCCAGTTTTAATTTTATTTAATTCAGTATTTTGATGTACTGTAGTCTGAAAAATATTTTAACCTGCTCTTGACTACATCACTAAGAATGTTTAGTAACACAGTAAAAATAGCACCAGTTCTGTCTTTATAAATTGCCTAAGTTGTACTTGCACCTGAGTCCCAATCAGTTTCTTACCAAAAACTGCTCAGATTTCTTTGCACTTGCCTTACTTTACAAGCTGGATAAACAATTAAATCGTAATGGTTTCTTGGTCCCAAATAATCCTAAATCCTATGCAAATCATCTAACTCGTAACACCTCTACCACACTTTCCGGCTCCATTGAAGTACAACATGTGCAGTGTTCCATTTGAAACAAGTGTGGAAAACAAAGTTTTGACCCATCACCATATGTGCATCAGGTTTAGATTTACAGACGGTTTCAGTTTTCAGTGCATACACAACAGCAATATCAATATCAAGCTAGTATCAAATGTTTACAATTTCTGAAATGTTTAAAATCCCTGACCTCCACCATTTGGTATCCAGATTGAAAAGGATGCCAATCAGCACCACCTCAGGGTCAGGCATTTGCTTATTTTTCCAGTGATTTTTTTTCTTTTATCTCCCAAGTAGTGTAATTTACTCATTTGTAATGAAAATTGTTGTGATAATTTCTTTAACACAAATTGCTTATTAGGTAGATAATATTATGTAAGGTTATTAAGGGAAATACTGTACTTGGTCTACACTGTAAACTAACAAACTTAGTGGAAGCTTAATTAGTTTTACTATGTATACATGCATTGCTACCTTTGTTCTCTTAAAGGATTTAAAACTTTAAATTATTCCCAACATTCATTTATTATTGTTGACCTGTATTTTGCAGTTAGTTACTGATATGCTCTGGGTCACAAGACTTTTGTATTTTACAGGCATAATGCTTATTTCAATGGCACTCTGTGCCGATGCAGTTATTGGAAACGTGCAGGAGAAAGCTATGAAAATACATAATGGTTCAAATTCCGAAATGGTAAGTGATTTAAGTCCATACTTCAGTCAGTTATTTCAGTAGTTTTCTCAATGTTTGTTTCTACTATTTCCACTTGTACTGGCAAATGCAAATCATGTATTTGCCAAAACAATGGAATTGCAATTTCTTCTAAACCTAAGAACTGATGGTGTGTTATAAATAAAAAAAAACACACACTTTAGTTGGCAACATTGTCAACATTGTCTTCTTAGTCAGGACTAAATATAGTTTTTTGTTTGTCTGGTTATGATGCTGGTGTAGCAGTATAAAATGGCATGGGTCATTCTGTTTTTGTAACTCTTGTGCTGAAGAGACTCAAATTGCAGTGTCCAATATGTTTTATTTGATTTAAAAACTCTGATTTTGTAATTTTATTTTGTGCAATTGTTAAATCGTATGCCAAAACACCGTAGAGTGGAAAAGATGAAACTAAAATAGTAATATGTCTGATATTAATAATGAAGTCTCTTAACTGCATCAGAGGTTGGTAATAGCTGGAAGATTGAAACTCTTTAGTTAACATTGCCTATTATCCATTTCAGGGTGCACTGCAAATAGTTTTTGATTAGTCAAATGTATACTGAATCCTCTATGTTTCCCAGTCAAAACTATGTTTTTAATTCTTTGAAATCATAGCATTTACTAACGTTCTGTAATTTGTACCTCTGCAAGAACTATTTTAAACTCATCATGAAGGGACTTCACTTGCTCAATTTTTCTGACTTGTGGACATTGTTATAATTTTTGCTAAATTGTTTTAGTGTAGGTGTACACCTGAGGGTCCGGGTCTAGTCTAGTCTGATCCCTCCTCCTTGAATGGCTTTCCTTTCTCCATGGAACTGTACTTTCCTGGTTCAAAACCTACATGACCCACCACCTCCAATTTGTCAGTTCCCCTCCTGCCCTCTAATGGTCAACTAAAGAGTATCTCAGAGCTCTATCCTCGGTCCTCTCCTTTTCCTTGCCTACATGCTCCATGTTTGTGACATCATATGCAAACATGGAGTTAACTTATACACAAATGACACTCAAATCTACTTTGCCACTTCTACCCTTGATTCCAGATTCAATGATGTTCTGTCTGACTGACTGTCAGACATTTAAGCTTGGATGAACCTCAATTTCTTGCAGTTCAACATGGATAAGATGGACGCCTATCCTCCTTGGCTCTAACCAACATCACTTTTGGTTCTTACCTCCAGAACTTCTCTGGCCTTTCTGAAACTCACCAAAACAATGCGCAGTCTTGACGTTTGATTTGATCAGCAGCTCTCGTTTTCACATTCAGTCCCTCACCAAGATCACTTCAACTTTACCACATTGGCTGTCTATGTTCCTATGCAACACAGAACCCTCATTCATTCCTTTGTTACCTCTCTCTCTAATTCACTCCTCTCTGTTCTCTCTATTTCCACAATTTCCAGCTGATTCAAAACTCCACCACTTACATTCTCACCCAAAGTTACGTGCCCATCACCGCAATCCTCGCTAGGCTTCACTGTCTGCCAACAGATTCATTTCAAAGTAATCACCTATAAATCCTTTCACACCCAGGCACCTCCCTATCTCATCTTCTCGAACCCACCTTACTCAGCAAACTCAAGTCTGCTTTGTGACACTCCCACTCATTCTAAATCCCTCCTTCTAACCCTCCATCTCTGTCTTTAAAACCCACCTGAAAAATCTACCTTTTCAACCATGCCTATGGTCGCTTCTCTCCTCCCCGTCTGACACCTCAGATGTTATCCTATGTGAAGGGTGCTATATCATTGCAAGTTGTTGTTGAGTGTTGTATGTTATCCAGTGAAAGAATAATAACACAACTCAACATTGTTTTCTGTATAAGTAAGCTAATACAGGATAGAAGATAACTGCATACAGTTGCTTATTTTCTAGTTTGTATGTGACTGCATAAAATTGTGCACTTTGGTAATAGACTAAATGAGCATAAATTATATTTGTTTGATGGAAGCTGGAAGCAGGTTTTTCAGTTATTTGTGGTTCAAAAAGTTAATGTACTTAATTGAGAAATTAGGTAAAGAAATATTAGTAACCATGTGTCATTCTATTGAAAATATTAGTGCTTGCATTTGGCATAGCGCCTTATTTCCTTTCAAGAATGTCTCAGGCTTATTAAGAAATTGGTTAAAAAAAACTGAGATTGCACCTCAGTATGTACTCCTACAAATAAATACAGATAATAATCATGACACTGATTATTATCACTGCTGTGCGCAATTGGCTGCTGCTTTTCGCCCACAAATATATAGTCAATTCAATTTACAATATATTCTGTGAAGCGCTTTGAGATGTCTCGAAGATATGAAAAGCTCTATATCAAACGCAAGGATTATTATTTTATATTTTATATTATTATGATGTATGATGATGATGATCCTTATACTTGCCATGGTGCTTTATCACAGAATACCTCAAAGCGCTTCATAAAGTTTTCTGTAAAGTACAATGACTATCTATTGTTAGATGACCATGGCGGCCAATTTGCAAAAAATGTACCACAAACAACAATTAAGTGAATCATCAATTTTTTTTAATGGAGATTGTTGACTAAACATTCGGAGAAAGTCCTTTCTCTTCCCATGGGATCTTTAATTTGATCAAATTGACATGACTTCAGTTTAACATTTCATCTAAAGGATTGCACCTCTGAAATACCATGCTCTCTGACCACTGAGCTCCTATTGTGTAGTTTTTTTGATCAGCCAGATAACTGACACATGTAGAAATCCATCACCACGCTTAAGAGCATACAAACTCGAATTTATAACCTTCTGACTCAGAAGTGAGTGTGCTGCTAATTGAGCCAGGCTGTTACCTATTTGCCATCATTTATCACTATCCTGATTGCTACTTTTGTGCAAGTATAAGTCTCTTGATGTCAAACCCAAGCCATGGAACCTGTGTTTTGATAATAATGTTCATTTTTTCAGTAAGTGTAAGCCCACAATAACTTAAATGTCTTCTCATTTTAGGTATTGTATTCCTATTCAATAGGGTTTGTATATATATTATTCGGGCTATTTTTTACCAGTGGTCTGAGCTCTGCTTTTGCCTTTTGTTCAAGGGTAAGTGTGTTTTAACTTTGCATTTTCCATTTTTATCTAATGTGTGGCCTTTGAGTTCATAATGCTGGTCTTAAGATAGACTTTAAAAAGAGAAAAATAGTCATAGGATGGTATGATATAAATAGCCATCCCACAGGAAATTGAAAACTGTAATGAGTAGCTAGCTTGCTAAACCACAATCAATGAAGTCCTTCCTGGTTGTACAATATAATCACTCAAACAGAACATGAATAATTATGCCAATTTATTTGGGTCTTTTGAATTATTTTGTACCATTTAACCTATTTATTGTTGCTTTACGTAAAATACTTCCACTGGTGTTGCTTTATTTATGGAGTTATTTTGACTTACTTGCCATGACTATTTTGCTCAGAAAGGTGTAGTCTGACAAAGAGCAAAACATCTTTAAATTGCCCTAATGCTGATCTTTAATTAGAGTTTCAAAAGTGCCCTTTATTGCACAGGTTTGATGCTTTTTATTTCCCGAACTTACTTTGTGGCCCCTTTGAAGTAAGATGGATAGTTCAGTGAAGAATTATGGGCAATTTTGATAGTGTAAAGTTATGGCCCTACAGAACTAGATTGAGCCTTCTAAAATCCATTACACTGTCAAGGTCCCATTTGAACTCACAACCAAGAGGAGAAACATCTGCACCAAATCCCAGACTGGTAATATTTTTGCCAAACCAATGCATTTTTTTTAATTCTAAAACTATTCTGAATTAACATACGTTCTATAGTACATTTCACTTTATTCTTTGAAAAAATGTAAATAGATGTTTGGTATACAAGAAATATTTGTCATTGTTCATTTAAGTAAAAAGAGTATATTACTACCTGTACTTAAACAAATCTAAAGTGCATTTATTTCATTTAAAAGGTACCTAGAAATTCAGTATGAGCCTTAGAATCAATGGCACATTAGATTTGAAGACTTTGTGGCATTGGAGGATGAGACGTAAAGAACTTTGCAACAAAATTTGTGCAACACTTAAGCATTATACTGCATAAAGGGCAATATATAAATGCAAGTTGTTGATCTCGGGATGTGTGTGGTGGGGGGAAGCGATGAGTACATGATGTTGGTTAGTGCAGTTGAACTGATAGTGTGACAAGGTGTGGAGAGGGAAAGGAGGAGTTACAAGAAGAGGTGAAGCGAAAGGTGCGGGATTCAAGGAAGAGGTAGAGAGGGCACGGCAGAGTAAAAAGGATGAGAGTCCTGTAGCTCAGTGGTTAGAGCACTCGCCTCTCAAGCTAGAGACCTGGGTTCGACACCCAGCAGGGCAAAACCTTGGGCAAGTTTCCTTACTCCACAAGCCTAATAATAATACCTCAAGAAAAAAAAGCAATAATAAATTGGTCACTTCAATCCACGACTGTTTGTGGGATACTGCTGTGCGCAATTGGCTGCCACGTTTCGCCCACAAATATACAGTCAATTCACTTTACAGTATATTCTGTGAAGCGCTTTGAGACATCTAGAAGATGTGAAAAGCGCTATATCCAAATGCAAGGATTATTATTATTATAAGAAGGGAAGGTGGGTGGTTAGAAAGGCATAGATGGGGTGGGAGAGATTTGTGCAATTATATGGGGAAAAAATAATTTACTAATCAACAAAATCTAACCAGTCATTTGATTTCTCTATTTTACAGCATATTATGCAGACCTATGGCTATGCATTTATGTTTTCAATGACTGGATATTTTGGAATTTCCTTTGTGCTAGCTTTGATAAAGCTGTTTGGTGCACTTCTTGCTGTAACAGGTAATTCTGCTTCTCACACAATGTTCAACTCTGTCAAACTTTGTTAGAAATCTGTTTGTTTTGATGTGAGTTTATTTTCATCTCCTCATTCCTTGTTTTTTAATATATAGTTTCGTTTTGGGTCAGTTTTAATTTGTTTTCTCGCTCACAGCCTCTCTTTGTGAGTAACATGGGAATACATGTAGTGATTGTGAAGCTGGCATAAAGCCATATATATCTCTGTCGAGGCCAATTTAAAAAATATATAACTTATGTTGACTAAAGTTGCTGTCTAAGATATTTTTGAAGGCAAGCGAGCAAGGCAAAGTGGTTTTCTGAGAACATTCCAAAATGCAGGGGCTTGAAAGACCCTATATCAATGCAAGTAGTTGTTGTTGATGGTGATGCTGGTGTTGTAGGTACGAGGAAGAGGGGAGGACGAAGGGAGTGAGCAATAGACCAGAGGAGGAACAGTGGAAAACCCTAGCTAGAGATTATTACACGTACAACAACAACCACTTGCACTTATATAGTGCCCTCCACGCAGAGTAGCGTCTCAGAGCTCTTAACAGTGGCGGAGCCTGACTCCGAACCGGGGAGAGGGGGCTGTAAGCACGGTCGAACAGGAAAGTCTTCAGGCGGGACTTGAAAGAGGGTAGAGAGGGGGCAAGGCGGAGGGATTGAGGGAGAGTGTTTCAGAGTTTGGGGGCGTAGTGGCTGAAAGCACGACCTCCAATGGTGGGGGGGAGGGTGTGAGGGATTAGCAGGAGGCTGATGCCAGTCTAGCGGAGATGCTGGATGGTGGTATCAGTGAGTGAATGGATTTGAACACGAGTGCGAGAATCTCGAACTCGATCCGTTCAGTTATGGGGAGCCAGTGGAGCCTGGCCAGATCTGGTGAGATGTGGATACGGAGTTTGGGTCAATATGTGGGCAGCAGAATTTTGAATGCGCTGGATCTTGTGAATGGTGGAGCTGGGGAGACTGGCGAGGAGTGGGTTGGAGTAATCCAAGCGGGAGGTGACAAACTCACGCACGAGGGTTTCGGCAGCATTTGGGGTAAGGTACGGTTGGAGGCGGGCAATGTGGAGGAGGTGGAAGAAAGCTGTCCTGGACAGGGACCAGATGTGGGGGAGGAAGGACATTTGGGGGTCGAATCGGACACCTAGATTGCACACTGGTTCAGTGAGCCTGAGGGGGAGCCCAGGGAAGTTGAGGAGGTTAGATCCGCAGGAGCGAAAACGTTGACAGGAGACAAGGAGTATGACTTCCATCTTGTCCATATTCAGCTCCACTCATCCAGGTCTTGGTACTGGAGGAGGCAAAGTAGATTTGTGTGTCATCCACATACATGTGGAAATTTACCCCATGTCTGCGGATGATATCGCCCAGAGGGAGCATGTAGGTAAGGATATGTACGTATCCAATGTCGAAGACCAGGACAGAGATCTTGAACTCAATCCTAACGGGGTATTGAGAATCAATAGTTTGTTAAGAGTAGGTGGATTAGCCTTGTGCAGGAGAAAACAGCTGCAAGATCAGTTGTAGAGCTGGATATGGTGGTGAGGAGCGTATTGGGAAATTTTCATCATGAATGTGGCTGAAGTATTAGTAAGTGTTTCAGTAGTAGTGGAGTTAGGTGATGGAGGTATTAGGAGGTATTGTTCTGGGGATGGCAGAATGACCTCAGTTTTGTTCAGCTACAGGGAGTTGTGGTCTATCCAGGACTTGATGAAAGCATGGATCAGGGTTTCAGCAACAGTGCCATTGTGGCTGTCAGCCAGAACAGCATCAGTCCTGCAAATTAGGGTTAGGGTTAGAGTTGGGTCTCTTCAGCATACATTTGGTAGATACCCCAATCCTTGAAGATAATGTCACAAAGAGACTGCTGAAAGTGGGGGAGGGTGTTCCTGAGATTAAGAACTCAAGGATCAGCCACTGATGTGGCACAGAGAGGTCGGAGCGTGCAGCAAGCCTGAATTAGCTGAGCAGTGGGGTAGAAGATTGGAGAGATGATGGGGTGCCAGGGCGTTGATGCATTAGTCGGTGAAAGTGAGGACCTTGAAATTATCCACTGGGAGATGGGGAGCTCGTGGAGACAGGGGAGAACTGGGTTGATGAGGGCTGCAGAGTTTGTTGAGAGTGAGGATGCGGCATCTAGTTCTGAGTAAGCTTCTGAATAACCAAGCAAGCAAGCTACTTTGCTTCTGTTGTTGTTTTAGATCCACCTCTCTTCCAGGGTCCATTCTGGAAACCGTTTGCAACAATAAAAACTTGTTTTGATTATATATCAATTGGGTTCCCCAGTCACCCCCTCCTATTTCACTTTGCATAGCAACTGGGTCCTTCGGATACCAACACACAGTGAAGCAGCTCCCATCAAATGTTCAAGATTGTTTTATCTTGTTGCATTTTTTTTATCCACAAAAATCTTGAGTTGTAAATTGCTTTGCCTTCACTGGATGAATGTAAGCAACTTAAAGCCAGGTCACTGCATGGCAGCAATGCTCTTACATCTTACTGGTGAAGGGGATGAGGTAAGACATAGCTTTTGCAAATGGTGGAGAGACTTTAGGGGTGTTTCCATGTCTCAGGTCCCAATCTGTCTACTGAAGGCAGGTAATGTGAGGCAACACAAGGGAAGTAGCAGAAGGTATGTGCAATGTCAGGTTTGGTTCCACAGTAATGGATATATGATGTCTCTGGTAAATGGAAAATACCAGCTATGTTGTGCATTATATGTACAGAGTGCATTTCGCCGATACCGCATAATTAACCACCAATGATACTTGCATCATTAGTACGCCTACAAAATACAGTCAATGCACTTTGTAATATATACTGTGAAGTGCTTTGAGATGTCTATGCTTTGAGCAGGTGCTATGTCAGATGCAAGGATTATTAATAATGAATCTTTTTGTTGGTTAATTACACCTGTAATTCCCTCTGCAACAGGTTAAATATAATATATTTCAGACCCCAAAATGTCTGTCTAAAGCAGAGGACAGACTAAAGGAAGTCACAAATTAAAGATTTTTAAGGAAATCAGCTCAACTCCCTGCCAATAAATTAAAGTAAGGGAAAACTGATGAAAGACATGAAAAATGCATTTAATGAAGGTACATGTTGTGGAACAGGAAAATTCAAGAAAAAGTACAATTAATCAAATGAGAAAGATGAACAGTTTTGAAAGAAAAGAAGTTGTGCAGGATCAAAGAGAGTAGAATAAAGTAAATCAAATCTTTTGTCTCATTATATCTACAGTCCTGATGTTTGGATCATTTCACCACCACATAAGAGTGTTAGAAAGACCTCAGTTGGTTCTGTTCAACCCTGTACTTTTAGTAAAAAAANCTGGTTTCTTGGGTTCAGCCCAGCAAATATTGACTAACAGTTAATCACACCGCATAGCTATATTTCTTGGGCAGGGCAAAACCTTAGGCAAGTTTGCTTATTCCACACACATGTTTATCTAGCAGTAAGTAGGAACTCGGTTGTTTGTTGGTTGGTGGATCGCTTTCCAAGGGTAACAAATCCCTCAACAAAAAAACTCAATCCAAGTTTGTGTGACACTGTTGTGCGCACTTGGCTGCTGAGTTTTGCCCACAAAATACAGTCAATCCACTTTACAATAGATTCTTTGAAGTGCTTTGGGACGTCTCAGCGACGTGCTCAGGCGCTCTTATTATAATACTCTTTCACAGATTGGAACTGCTCATGATGGTTTCACTCTGGCACTGAATATGTTTCTGTTAAATGTGTCTTGCTGAAAAACAATTTTAGACAATATTAGAATTAGATAAAAATATTACAATGCAGACTTCTGATACAGTTCATGTAATCATCAGAGCTCTTTGTACAGTGAACCTTAGCTGCATGTGGGAATGGAAAGAGGCTCCTGGACAAGAAGTATGACTAAAGGGCTATTAAGCTCCGTATGGGATAAAGTGCATTGATATACAGTATTATGGAAACAAGTTTCTATTTTCTGTGAAGTGTTTCCAGAATGGATGCTGGAAGATGAAAGTTTTATCTGTTATATATTGATCATTCAAGAGGTTCACCATGTTCCATTATAAATTTACACATTTAATTTTTTCAGTACTTGTATCCCAGTGTTTGATTTGTCAGTATTTGTATTGTAGGATTTAATTTATTTAATAGTTATTTCCATTAACAAAGCTAACAAATACAATAAAGCTCCGAGAGACCTGAGTTCAATTCCAGGCAGGGCGAAACCTTGGGCAAGTTTCCTTACTCCACACGCCTAATAATAATCCCTTCAAAACCAAAAACAATAATAAATTGGTCATTTTCAATCTACGACTGTTTGTGGGACATTGCTGTGCGCAATTGGGTGCCGCGTTCGCCCACAAATATACAGTCAATTCACTTAACAGTATATTCTGTGAAGCGCTTTGGGACGACCTCCCGACGTGAAAAGCGCTATATCAAATGCAAGGATTATTATTATTATTATTGGGGTTCCATAAAATTCCAACCAACCTTATAAATAGGTATGATCAGTGATCAGTGCCTTCACATCATGACTGCACCAGTCACATGCCAGCAGAAAGCATTCATATTCTCGGGTTATTGCCAACATCACTTCCTGTGCACTGCGCATGTGCAATGCTGTCGTCACTTCTATGCACTGCGCATGTCCGGTCTGGACGACCCAGACGTTAGCCATTTAGCATAGAAAGCTAGCTACAGGTCCACACGGCACCTGCGTTATAATCCAACCCACGTTATAACAAAATGCATTGTAACTGAATTCTGCTGTATATTGAATTTTTAATGATTAGAAGTTTCATATGTTAACTTTTTCATCTATTGTAAAATGTCATTTTTTTGTCATGTTGATAGCTTAGCTGAACATCTGTGTTTCTGTTTCTTTGTAGTAACTACAGGAAGAAAAGCAATGACCATTGGACTTTCATTCCTTTTCTTTTCAAAGCCATTTAGCTTTCAGTAAGTAATATTCATTTTATGTAATTAGCACCAATTATGAAGAAATCTAATTAGAATATGTCTTGCTAATAGTTTGAAAATATGATTTTTTCGAGTACAAATCCTCAAGACCATTTTGGTATCACAATATTACCAGTAATGCCACTTTCACTGAACAATTTTTAATCATCACATGTAATAGTAACTGTTGTGATGCCATACTGCTCTTGTTTGTTTTCCATTCAGATTTTAGAGTAAAATAACTTCATATTTTAAAAAAAAGCTGGAATGGAAGATGAACATTTTTTTAAAAAAAACACAATATGCAGCCTGGACTTTAGGGCTTTCTCGCTTCTCAAATGTTCACAGACAAGAGTTACAACAGTTAGTATGGCACCAGAAGAGCTGTGCACAATAACATGCATCAATGTAAACTTGATACTACATTTCTCAAAGTGCTTCACTTAAGTTATTTGTGTTATATTGTGCATGTTTTCTTACAAATAGTTTTCTAATGGCTTTTAAAATACAACAAACTGAAATGAGTATGCCAGTTTTCGGATTGATTATCCTCACAAGACCCCAAGGGAGGCTTGCTTTTCAAAAAGGTTTTATCGTATTCTTTCAGAATATCAATCCTCCTATCTTCAGCGTCAAACTGTTTATTAAATGAGTCCATTGTCCTTGTCCTGCTGTTGTGTACCCTCGTAACCCTCAGTTGCTGATGTGCACTGAAACAGTGACAGTCTGACTGAGTCAGCAAAATTCATCTCTGAAGAAGGTTGTGGATTTAAGTCCCACATTGGGACTTTGAAGTTATATAGTCTTAATCAGTGCTGGGGTATGCTGCATTATTAGAGGTGCCATCCCTCAGATGACTCATTAAACCAAAGTCAGTCTGCCTGTTCAGGTGGACAGTAAAGATCCCGTAACATCTTTCAATAGAGAAGGGAGTTTCTCCCTCTATCCTGGCCAACAATCCCCCAAATATAATTGGTCAACATGGCTGTTTGCGGGACATTGCTAAGCATAAATTGGCTGCTGCATTTGTCTATAAAATACAGAGTCAGTACATTAAATTAAATCCTGCGAAGCAGTTTGAGAAATTCTTCTGATAAGGGAGGGGCTATATGCAAATACAAATCCAATACAAAGATTATTATTATTAGAGTGAAACTTGCATAAGTCTTAGCTTTATAAATCATACAATTGCCTAAGTTGTACCTGTACCCAAGTCCCATTCAATTTCCTATCAAATTCACTTAGATTTCTTTGCATGTGTCGTATTTTATAAGCAAATCATCTCCGAACTCCATTATTGCGTAAGTCATGTTAAATGTTTTGGTCCCAACTGATACCTCATACGTGAGTTTTACTGTATTATAATGTTGCAATCTCCATTTTTGATTACACCTAAATCCAGTTAGCCGAAGTATTGGGAGATCAGGCTAAGTGTAATTACAATGGCGGTAAATGCCAGCACCAGCATTGTAATATTTTGAAGCCTGCCAGCAAATGATAGAGAATAAGCTATTTTCTGCTTGTAGGATTCTACAGAATTCTGCATATTATTGCACAATTAATGCTCTACATTTTCTTTCCTTAGGTATATATGGTCAGGTCTTTTGGTCCTCATTGGCATCATGCTAAATATTTACAGCAAAAACATGGACCGAATGAATTTACCATCACCTCTTTATTTTTGCCACCGATTCCTGAAAAGAGAAACTAGAACAATGACTCAAATTGTATGAAATTCTCTGCGAACTTGATTCTTGTGGTTTTCATCAGACCAAGTAACTTTTGACTGGCACTACCCAAATGACAACAAGTAGTCCTGGTACTGGCACCTGCTATATCTCTGAAATTTCCATATGTAGGTGGGATGCATGGAATTCTTAGTCTGGTTTGGATACTCTTAAGCATGGTGATGGGTTTACGCATGTGTCAGCCACCTGGCTGACCAAAAACAGTAGAACTAAGAGCAACTCAGTTTTACTAAAAAGCCAAGGCCATTTGTACAAAATGACTAGAAACTGGAGATTCTAATGTCGTGATAAAAGGGAACAATCAAGGTTTTTCTGGTCAATGTTGATCAGTTCTGGTCAGTATAGATGAAATTGTTTTATGAATAATGTATATAAAATTACTGATCTAGTTTATGAATTCTAATTATATCAGTAGGCCTATGTTTTTCACTATAAATAGTCTGTATTCTGATTTTTAAAAAAATAATACTACAGAATGGGACCAAGTCTGCCCAAACTTTTTTTTAGTTATCCTGTTTATTTGTGTGTGTGTGTATATAAAGTTGATTATATTTTGATTGAAATGGATGTGCGGTTCAGTACTATTTAAAGTGGGGTATTTATCAGGTATTTATCATGATTGTACAATCGCATATATCTCTTAAACGAGGCTTGCACGTAATGCATCTTGATTGTACTGAGCTCCTGAGAAATACAGAGTTGCAATGGGATATGCAATTAGCAAAAATGTGCATTAAATGTCTTTATGGTGGGATCTGTTATGAAATTTTTATTGGACAGAGATCTTTAAAGCACATGTGTTTGTGTTATACTTGTCTTATTTCAGTACATTTTCTCTGCTGAAGACCTTTCTTTTCGACCACGCCTTTGGTCACCTCCCCCTGGCTCGGTCCCGGGAACCTGAAACTGTAAATCGCTCTTGAGACGCCGTCTGGCGTGGAGGGCGCTATATAAACCCAAGTTGTTGTTGTTGTACATGTATTGTGAAGATATGATTGTTGTACTTTACCAAAAAGTTCTCATGTACAGTGCCTCAAGTAAAGTGCGTGCCCATCTTTCAAGTAAAAGATTTTGGCATCTAAATCATTAAGACAATAATCTTAAAAGAATAATCTCAATAATCTGCAGACTATCCAGAGCTACTGTGCGCAATTGGCTGCCGTGTTTCGCCCATAAAACATAACAGTCAATTCACTTTACAGTTTATTCTGTGAAGGCTTTGAGACGTCTTGAAGATGTGATAAGGTGCTATATCAAATGCAAGGATTATTATTATAACTTCTGCAGCCCATGTTGTCTCCCACTCCAGGTCCACGAGCCCAAGTTACCTGTCCTTGTTTCCTCATCCTACAAATCCCTGCAGCCTATCCTACAACCCAAAAGAGGGAGCTGCTTCCTCTGCTGAAATGCCATTCTGTTTCTTGCCCAATCTGTCCCACCATTGGCAGATGGCCCTGCTCTCTGGAAATCAATCCCAGAGTCGCGCTGCCCTGCCCCCTCCTTCCCTGCTTTAAGTCCTGTCTTTTCAACAGTGCTTTAGATACCTTTGTCCCCTGCCTCTTTCCCCTAAACTTGGGCTCCTATTCAGCTTTGTGAAGCACTTTGACACATCCTCCCATTGTGAAAGGCACTGTATAAGTGAGAATTATTGTTGACGTCTAAATCATTTGTTTCTACTTCTGCACAGTGTCTTAAAGCTTTTTTAAAAATCTTTTTTAATATAATGAAGACTCTTATGTAAATGTTGGATCTGTTTATTTAACAAAATCTGAAACTGAGTAAAGCATATGTCTAAAAATGAACAATTTTCTAGTTTCTTTGTTACATTTAACCCATGTAAGGTTGCAGAACTAGAGAGCTTGTTGGTTTTTCTGTCTTGCCATCATTGAAAACATTTTAATAAAACAGAAATCCAAATGTTGAAACAAAAGTATTATTTGCTTTGAAATACAGGCATCTTCACTGTAATTTGAGCTTTAGCAGTGAATGAATCATTTGTAATCAAATTAAATATGAGAGGAAACGTGGAGATGCAGCTAATGGGAACTGGTAATAAGCATCACCAAGTAAGCATTGGTTCATAACTATCAATTGTTTGGGTGCTGAATAATTTTTGTATTATAATATTGTGGAGTCCTGGAGCTCTGTGGTTAGAACACTCGCCTCGCAAGTGAGAGACCTGGGTTTGATTCCCGGCAGGGCGAAACCTTGGGCAAGTTTCCTTACTCCACACGCCTGATGATAATCCTTCAAACAAAACCAATAATAAAATTGGTCACTTCAATCCATGACTGTTTGTGGGACACTGCTCTGCGCAATTGGCTGCCGCTTTTCGCCCACGAATATACAGTCAATTCACTTTACAGTATATTCTGTGAAGCGCTTTGAGACGTCTAGAAGACGTGAAAAGCGCTATATCAAATGCAAGGATTATTATAGGATTATTTTTATAGAATGCTGAATAGCACCATGGTAACTAATTTGAAGTTGGGGTGATTTGAACTTTTTAAACTTGTGCATTATTAGAATCCTGAGTTCTGACCAGTTCAACAAAATTCAAATTGAATACCCAAATTTTAGATTAAAATAGACTAATTTGAAAGAAAGAAATTCACAGATAATGCACAAGTACTACAGTATGAATATCTCACATAACTAACGGAACAGAAAATCCTGATTGTGATGGTGTATTGTTTCACAAGTAAACACTTAATGCTTTCACAAATGTACATTATTACATATGAAGGCGTTTGAAAGTCGAACAATTTTTTCTTCCTTATTTAAACTTTTATGTAAAAGGGTAAAGGGTAAATGCTATACTATATTTTGCTTGTTTTGATGTTTCTTTGATTATGATGGAATTACCTAAATTTCAGGGTAGTTTCAGGAGATTCTTAAAATACAACAAAAAAATTACATTTGTATAGCACCTTTCACATCGGGAGAACATCCCAAGGTGCTGAACAGTCAGTGTTTCGGACCAGAGCCGGGGGTCGCGATTGGGGAGGGTGGAGGGCAAGGGAGAAGCAGGGTGAGCGAAAGCACTGTCGAAGAGGAGGGTCTTCAGATGGGTCTTGAAGGAGGCAAGGGAGGGGGCGAGGCCACGGTACTGCAGGATGGAGTTCCAAAGGGTGGTGGCAGAAGGCCCGACTGCCAATGGTGGGGTGGGCGAGAAGGTGACATGAAGCAGGCCGGAGCCTGCTGAGCGGAGGGAGCAAGCAGGTTGGTAGGGGTTAGGAGGTCGGAGAGGTAGGGGGGAGCAAGACCATGGAGGGCTTTGAAGGTGAGGACCAGGATCTTGAACTGTATCCTGTGTGATGGGAAGCCAGTGGAGTCAGACAAGTGTAGGGGTGATAGGGTCACGGAGCCTGGTGCGGGAGAGAACACGGGCTGCAGAATTCTGGATGATCTGCAGCCTATGGAGGGAGGATTTGTGAAGGCCGACAAGCAAGGAGTTTGCATAGTCAAGCCTTGATCTCATGAATGCATGTATGAGGGATTCGGTTGCCTGTGGTGTGAAACAGTGGTGGAGCCAGGCGATGTTGTGGAGGAAGACAGAGCGGGTCATGGCATGGATGTGGGGTAGAAAGGATAGTTGAAGGCCAAACAAGATGCCAATGTTCCAGACTGGCTTAGCAAGGTGGAGTGTGCAAGCATGGATGGTGATGCTGTCAGAGCTTGAGGTGTGAAGAAACTGACGTTCAACTGAAGAAAGTTAGCTCTCATCCAGGACTTGATGTCTCTTAAAATACATTTTCCTGTTAATCTCATGATCATATGGTTCAAAGTATCTATAGTTTTGCCTATTGGAAATGGTGATTGGATTGTCTGGAGATCTCTAAAGTAGATCTGGCATATTGTCTGCCTATGCTTATTATTTGTTGCTTAAATATTTAAAGTAAGAAGAAATTATATTGCCTTAATTTGGCTGTATGTTAGTAATCCTGATCTAATACAACTGGGCTCTCCACATTTAGCATTTTTCAAGCACATTCAAAATGTGATTTTGAATAATGATATGATGGATTGGAAGTACATTTCAACAACTGTACCCATCTTTGAACATTTAGCTCACATTGTTTATTCAACCACAAATCTTTTGGGCATATTTGAAAGTACCTGATCTTGTGCAAGAAAAACAACCAAATAAAATAAGTGCTTTCGTGAATGCTTGCCTTTCAACTGAAAGATGCAGATGTGTCAATAATTCAGCTAGGTTGTGGAAATGAACAAAATTATATGGGTATTAAAAAAATAAAACTGGGGTGATGATGGATTAGACATTGTGAAAGTTATACTATAAAAAGGTGCTGAATAGGAGTACCATGGGGAGTGAGGGAGAATGTTTATAATTTTAACAGATGGCATACGTGTATCTCCTACACCAGTAAAACAAGAAGCTGATACTTGTTTACAAAGTGCTTGATCAATCCAGCCTCATAAAACATATTCCTCCGATATTGCTTACCAGTTCAGATTTTTAATAACACTCCAACTATTAAACAGCTTTTAAAATCCATGGATAAAGATTTATTTTAGAACAATTTAAAAGTAGTATGTCCTTTATACATGGTTTCTTTATGCAGTGTAAAAACTAAATTTTGATCACACATTCAAACTGTTTATTAGAGGTGCTTTATAGAGGCCACCCTCTCCTTTATTAATGTCAACTGCATCAGTTGGAACAGTGACCTATGTTATTTCTTTGGTCTCTTGTAATAAATAATGGCAGATGTCTGAAGCTCATCACAACAGCAAATAGGGTGGTATATAATAAGTTGTCCGCTCAAAATTGCCACAGCAGGGAGGGCTGGCAGCCCATCCATTACTTGGTTATTTCAAGCAAAAGCTTTTTTGTCCTTGGACTTGGGATTGGAGCTGCAAAGTTTATTTGTTAAAGGGCCAGTCTTTGAAACCCTTGAGTTTGTAGGGCTCATTGAGTGAGCCTTTACAAACTGAAATATTGGAACGGTCATTTATTTTTTACTCACCATCTATTTGGAGAGTGAGGCAAGTCCTCTCTCTCCCCCAGCACACACACACACACACAGTAAAATAGAAATTTGGCACTTTTAAAAATGTATTACAAACTGGTAGAGCTTGTTTGCTTTTCAAACTTCACTGGGTTTACTATAAA